GAAGAGAAAGCAGGGGAATAGACTTGATTCGCGGAAAGGGCTATCGACGTTTTCCCACGACACTATCTGTTGCAGACATCTCACGGATAATGCATCAGCCGGCGCGAAATATGTTTTCCAGCTTTTTTTCTCTTTCTCTCTCTTTCTTCGTCGCTCGTCGAGGCCTCTTCTCCTCCCCGTCGCGAAACAGCCAGGCCATCGAGGTATCCCGCGGTGTGCAACTGCGCACGCATTTATTTGAGCCTCGAGTTGTTCTTGGATTGGTCTCAACAGTGTCTGCTGAGACGAGAAAGGGTTGAAACGACGAGGTGGTGCATTCGAGGTCGAATGCAACGATATTCACACATCGACGACGAAGGGTGAACATTTGTCGAAATTTTTCCTTTGTTGTTCTTGGCTTCGTTTTTGTCATTCGATTTTTCAATCTTTTCTCTCTTTTTGTAATAAAACGATCGAAAGGATGTTATATATATCTTATAATTACGCACAATTTCGAACTTGTTCAATTTTTATTTCCGTTGAAATCATATTACTTTAGAAATTTGTTCATTTGCAAGTTTATTTTCATCGAGTTTGCTTCAAGTATTAAATATTTTTCTTTTTTCCTTTTTTTTTATAAATTTCGACAAGCCGCTTCAGACGATTACCAATTACCAGAAAAGAATATAGAAAGTTATCCAGGAGCAACTCGATTCGAGAGGGAAGATTAAAACGAACTTGTTAAAAGTCTGGCTAAGTTTGTACGTGTCTAATTACTTATTCCTACATTAACACAGTACGCTGTTCGTTTAAAATTCCCGACCAGTTGGTAAAATCACTTTAATTCCGTTATATCCCGCGTACGGGCAAAAATTCCTTTCCACATTCGTTTGATCGTAACATGCAGCGACTATAATTTATACAGCAAAAAATATACAGCAGGGAAAACCAAAAAGAGAGGGGAAACCCTTTCGGACCGGACTCTAAACCTTTCGTTCTAAACATTACCAAAAAAAAAAGAAAAGAAAAAAAAAAAGAAAAATTAAAATTTAAATAATAAAATACGTATATTTTTTACAATCAAATAAATATTCAACATCCGAGCGAAAATTCAATTTCAACGAGTCGATCGATCGACGATAATTACACGCGAGATACGAATTATTCTTTTGAAAACGCATTACACATTTTCAAAATGAATGAATAAAATTTGCAGAGAGAAATCCAAACGCGATAATCCTAATAAAAGATATTTTTCACTCCTCTCGCGCCTATCATGCGCCTCGAAAACTTCCACCCCATCACGGCCGGACACAATGGCCAGGACGACGGCGATTTCACTGTCTCGCGGGCAAGCAGGCCTGTGTTGGCCAGACAACAACTTCGCCCCCCCGTTCCAAGATGCCTCGACGGTAAATGACGTGACGTTATAAAGCCGACAATTCCGTGAAAACGTCTGACGGACAATGGGCGCTACGTAGATCCTGATGAAGTGGACAGCCGTTGCGTGTGCAAGCAATTATTTTCATCGTTGGAAAGGGATCCAGCGTGTACACGGGGATGATCGCGTTATATATTCCTTTCTTTTTCTCCTTCTTCTTCCAAGGGAAGATGATATTTATTCATTATCGTCCCTTTTCTATTTACAAATTCCGAATATATTTCGTTTCGAAGGGAATATCGAAAGAATGTATTCACCGTTCGTTGTTATTTCTTCTTTTCTCTCTCTCTCTTTTTTTTAAATAATAGTTCAATCGAATTACAAGTGTTTGTTGTTCAATGATTAAATTAAATTAGGAGATGGTTAGAAAGAAGAAAATAACAACTAATCAGTTGCTGTACATGAATATCTCGAACGATAGAACTCTTGCTTTTTATATTTTTCGTTTCATCGAGATATGCCGATAATGCGGATCAAAGGGTAAAATGCGTATACGATAAAGTAAGTATTGAAATTATGTATATCAGAAAAGGAGAAATATGGATGTGGTTAGGGAAAATTAATTCGAAAATTTAATGGAACTCGCACTTTGACGAGGGGCACGGTATTTTAAAACGGTATCCCCCGAAATGAGCAACACTTAACGGGTAAGGGTAGGTAGTTTCACGAAAAATTTTCTCTCCCTCCACCCTTCCGTTCCGGCGATGGGAAATTTTTGCCCGAAATTCAGCAACGCAGGGAAACATGGATTTTTTAAAAATAATCCGAAACCATTTTCAAGTGGATTTCAATTCGGATAGGATTTCGTTGAAATATCTCGCGAAATATAAACGTTTTCACACACCGGAAACAAAACAAAACCGGCCAATAATATTACGATTTCTATCATGTAAAAATGTAAACATATTGAAAATTCGCGTTCGCGAAACACACGAATTTGTGTTGGAATGAAAATGTTTAGAAAATTAATAGGATTAATAGCGGTGGTTAATTCTTCTTTTTGATCGGATGAAATTTTTTTTTTCTTCTCTTTCGTTCGTTCGATAATTATGTATATAATTTCGATGAATACGCGGATGAATATTTCATTTTGTTAATGAAATTGTTGAAAAATCGATAATACGATAATATGCGTAACGGTCTATTTTAATTTTTTCACGGAATTTTAATATTACACGGTATCCTTGTAATACAAATGCCAAATTATTAATATAAAATTCTGAATCTGTATTATACATCGTATACACATATATTTTTTTGTATTTTACGCGAAAATTTTCATCGTCAAAAGCAAGACAATTTTACAATATTACGCTATTATGACGAAAAATTTCATTAAACAATTTCTACTGCGAAAATTTATTTTGACAAACAATTAACGGGAATAAAAAAAAAAGGCGAAAAGAAAGTCCAGAAAATGTTAAATTGTGTTGTACAATAATAATAATTTTTTTATTCGAAAGATGAACAAAGATAAAGTATTTTCCAGAGAATTTCAACGAAAAAAAAAAAAAAAGAAAAAAGGTAATCACGAGATCGCAATAACAATTATTTCAAATATTATTCCAAACAAAATATTTTATGCAAACAAATAAAAAAAAAAAAAAAGAAGGGATAGATCGAAAAACGGTAAATAACCCAAAACGGGTGTGCATACTAAATCTTGCTTAATATTTCCAAACAGACCAATTTCCCTATCCCGCGCGAAAGAGCAACGTTCGACACAGGAGCGTATTTCAACGGAACCGTGCTATATTTTCCGATCGAGCGGGGGGCCGAAAATTTTCCGAATCGGCCGTTCCGACCATCGTCGAAAAATGATCATCGTTATTCCTTTCAATTTGCCGCGAGACTAAAAAAAAAAAAAAAAAAAACCCAAAAAAAGAAAAAAGAAAAAAAGGAAAAAAAAATAGCAACAACCGATGCAACGAATCGGACTCGGTGGTCGCGAAATTTCGCATTGTACCGCATGTTTCGACAAATTTCAAACGTCACGCGAGAAAATTCATTTCTGCCCGCCCGGAGGAGAAATATCACGGCGAAAAACGGTTGGATCGTTAAATTTTAACAATCACACGATTTACCGCTGTTTTATATTATGGCGAATGGGGCTATCTCGCGAATGGGGGCGGACAGGGGAGCGTCTGCATAAAGTTTCGATGGGTGCAAACAATCGGCGTCCGCTCACGGACTTTAACCAGTTGGGCAGAGAGTTGCGCGGCTCGTTTTCTTTGGAGGAGGAGATCGTGAAACCAGATGAAACGCGAGATACCACGAGACGGAAGTTCGTTCCACGGAATTCTAGCTTTGGGGGACAATGGCGGTGGAGCGAGCGGGGAAAGCTGTTTCGAAGAATGGAAGAGAAAGTGATATTTGTATCTAATAGATATCTTGGTTCATTGGAAATTGATTGGAAATGGAATTGTTACCGATCTTTTGACTTTCGAAAACGATATTTTTAAGGGAAATGAAAAAAGTGACGAAAAGAAGAGATAGAAATAAATAAGAGAATAAAAAATAGCTTTGAATTAATCCTCCTCCTCGTGTATTAATTCCTTGTATCACATTATGTATATATATATATATATATATACATATATAAAATTCGAATAAAAATTTAATAAACGGAAACACATTCTTGAATCGAGAAACTTATAATCTTTTTATAGCCTCTCTCCAGTTTAAAATTCCACGATTATTCGTAAAAATAGAATCATTAGGAAAATGTAGGAAGAAATAACGAAAAGGATGGAATGGCTAGACAAGTAAAACAGTCGAACGAAGTAGAAGAAGATAATCACGTCACGCAAGAATAAGATACGCATCTACGAGATTTCCATTTCCACGACTTCATCATTGTATATTTCAAACAAAATACCCCCAATTCACCCATCCTTTAATAATGAATTCTAAACACATTAATCATCGACTCTCCTTTCCACAGTATTATTACCTCAAATAATTTCCAGATTCAATTTCCATACTTCTCCCTACCGAGTTTCACCAAAATCCAACAATCGGTCAGAATTGAAAGGATCTCTCTCTCTCTCTCTTTCTCTCTCTCTCACGACCAACGTGCAGTTTAATCAATTTAAATGGCAAACAATCGCGAGTGTTGGGATTAGCCGGCGATCGTAGTCGTATTTCGCTTCCGGTTGCCGCCAGAACCGGAAGGAAGAATCCTCCCGATTTCACGCGCTCACGTACCTCCCGTAAAACACCCTCTCGTCACGTTACCATCAAATTCAGCGTTTGTTCGTCGCTGTTCTTAAGAAAATCCCCGCGGTTCGAGCCAAGGATCAAACCTAACGTGGCAACTCTTTCGACTTCTCGACGCGACAAGATTTATGCGCGAGTCGCGAGGACCAACCTCCACGAAATATGCGATCTCGAGGCTTAGGCCGGATGCCAAATATATATATACACGTGAATTTTTCATTCGATCGTCTTTATATCACAATTTTAGGACGAGTCTATGAAATTCGTTTCCCCTCCACTTTTGAAGGATTCTTTTATCACCAACGAGTTTTCGAGTTTCTCCAGTTCGATTTTTAATAAAAATAATGTAACATCTACTCACCAATCGTTGCCAGTCTTGGTCACATTCTGCCGCTTGCGTCCAGTTTGATGGGGTTTCGGCTCGGCCACCATGTTAACATCTGCAAAACAAGAAAGGAGAAAGATTAAGGATCAAATAACAAACGAACGAAATCAAAATCTCGTAAAATTTAATCCCCCGATTGTCTAGAATCTCTAAATAACGCGTGTGAACTCGCCGGAGACTCGGTTAAATAACCACGGGTTAAATACCCGTGCGCCATTTATCGTTAAAAAGAGAAGGAAATAACCCTGGTGGTGGTGATAATGGCGGTGATGGTGTTGCAGCCGGGGATCGCGATAGAAATCTGTCTCTTGGCTTAATAGCCGGCTCAAATTAATAAAGCGGACGGCGGCAAAGGGGCTTAACGTGTCCGCAAACAGTTATTAATTTCATCCCTTTGCGGCGCCCGTTTCAGTATCGCGGTGGTATCCGCAGCTAAGGTGGATAATGGATGCGCGTTCGAGTGATCAGTACAGTTGAGCCGTTGTGTCAGCGAATTATCCATTCTTCTTTTGATGGGGGAGAGAGAAAATGAAAAAAAAAAAAAAAAGACAGAGGAGTGAGATAGATAAAGAGAGGATTTTATTCTTCACGGTTGCGGTGAATGAAGGCTTTGGACGTGTTTTTATCGACGTTCGATAAGAAAGGGAGGGCTTACCGTGCGAATTAATTTCGCAGGAATCGATGATCGAGAAAATTATCGAGAGAATCTTAATCCGTCTTCAAGTTAATATTCGCTCGATTGATCTATTCAACGATTATACGTTGGCTTGATTGCTAAAATTTGCTTTGTTTGTTAAATTATTTCTTCCTTTCGATTTTTTTTAAGAATCCATTTTTCTTCTTATTTTCGATAAGAGAAAGGAGTTCGAGGAGTTTAAAATTGTAATCTTCAGGCTAGCTAGGCCAATCTTTCTCGCTATCGAGAATGACGATTCCCTTGACAGGGAGCACAAATATAATCTTAGACACGGCAGCAGACAAGCCAGCTGACTCCGGTGGGTGTGTAGCCACGGTACGAAACACGACACAAGACCCATCCTTTGTGTAACCAAGCCAAACACACGGTGCAGACAGAGCGACGAGGGTGTGCATACAACCCACCGTAGCTAAAAGTCAGCTTTATTATGATGGCTACTTGTACGTAAGATGGGGAAATTGTTTGTACACCGGTTGTTCCAAATGATCCGCTCATTTATCACGAGAACGATCCTTCCGCTTTTAATTAAATCGATAACGTATTAAAATTTCATTTCAAGGGAAATATTCGATGGATATAATGAAAGAAAAATATTCCAAGAAAAGAAAAAGAATTGTAAAAGAAATTTGGTCAATTTATCGGAATAAATCACTATTCCACGCAAGATGTTACATTTGGTAAAAAAAGAGAAACGGTGAAAGGTAAACGAATCTTTCATAGAGATCAATATTCGAGGATGAATTTTTCACGAGAATTATCGATAACTTTGTTACCGAAGTAACCCATTCATAGACCGTGGAATATTAATGTTTGAATAATTTCTGTTTTCTGGGTGGTCGTAAACTAATCTCTACGGTAGCATGTATTTACTTGTGCCCGTTGTTTACCGACTGCACACAATGCCCGAACGTTGCAAATACTATGCACAAATGTGTATTAAATCAGAATATTCGTTAGCAGTTGATGCGGAATTAATGCAAATGAACGCGTTAATATTAGTTGACACACGTTCTATGTGGAATAACGTAATAAACGTATATAATAATATATTATATATAAAGATATTACAGCGATTAAACGCGAATAAACCAATATCTCGACAATCTATAAACTTGTATCTTACATGCCATTTACGAACTTTCATTCTATGCGACGTGAAATATTTTCTTCTTTCTTCCTCCCACCCCCCCCTCCTCCTCCCTCTCTTTTTTACTGCACATACAAGAATACGAATCGCGATCCAGTTTCAATCGTTTCAATCTTCATCCAAACTATTTAATTTTAATAACAAGAGTTACCCGAATCTTTAACTCTTCGACATTTCTTCTCGATCAGAAGAAATTAAAATCTTCTTTACTATCGCCTTCTTAGAAAATCATTATTTTTTTTAAACAAATATAACCTATATATATATATATATATATATATATATATATATATA